ACTTTCTGTCACATAAGTAAGACCCAAGAGATTTTACAACTTAGCTGTCAGTTTGAGCATTACTGGGAATACACATGCAAGTCTACTTTTTTCTATACTTGCATAATGTGAATTTCAGTTAATGAAGGACTAAGCAATGAAGTGAAGAAATCTCAATTCCTTTATTTTCAAGTATATCTATTTTTTAATGCTGATGATTATTTATACTGGACAAATTAAGTTAAGGATCGTGATTTATAAATTATTTAATTTACAACAAATAACAAAATATTCCATTATTTATAACTATATAATATCAATCTTTATCAACTAAACAAACAATTTTTATTGTGTTTATCAAAAAATCAATAAAGTGTTAACGTGCTTTGGGATTAATTGTCACACAACCCCCCAAAACAGAATGAAAAACACCCTTGGTAAAGGAGGGAAAATTCAGCCTTAACTGTTTGCGCAGTGTTTTGATGTGTTCAATATGCTGTATGACCACCCCGTGCTTGAATAACCGCGCGACAACGCCTCTGCATACTGCGGATAAGTCTCCGAAAGAAGATTTGCGACAATCTAGCCCATTCCTCGACGAGTGCTGCAGAAAGCTCCTCATGGTTACTAAGGAGAACTGGGCGCGCTGAAATGGCTTGCTGTAGCTTGTCCCAAGCATGTTGTATGTGATTAAATTCAGGCGAAAGACTGGGCCAGTCCTTTCGCTCAATAGTTTCACTTTCCAGGTAGTCTGTTACGACGTGAGCCCTGTGAAGTCTAGCATCATCATCCATTAAAATAAAGTCATGACCGATAGCACCTGTGTACAGCCTGACAATAGGATGCAGTATCTCATATCGGTATCTTATCCCTATAAGATTTCCTGCGATAACGTGCAAGTCAGTCTCTCCGGTTATACTGATACCACCCCAAACCATCACAGAACCACCCCCAAAACGATCATGCTCAGCAACACAGCAATCTGCAAAACGTTCACCGGTCGTACGCCAAACTCGTCTACGACTGTCATGAAAGTCTACACAAAAGCGCGTCTCATCTGTAAAAAGAACAGGGGTCTAGTGACGCAGTTGCCAATTGACATGGTTTCGTGTCCATTGGAGACTGGCTGTTCAGTTTGGGGTCAGTTTGGGCCGGACTGCTGGTCGGAATTTTCGGATGGAGTCTGTTTCGAACTGCCTGTGGTGTTACTCGCACTCTTGTTACTGTTTCAAAGTCTGTATTTAGCCTAAGAGCACCCTGGAACCTCTGCCGTTTTGCCATATTGACCAGATAACGGTCCTTACGAGCCATGGTTGACCTCGGACGACCAGAACATGTCTCTCAGAAAAGGTACCAGTACAGTCAGTTCTCAAATTATCGCCATTCGATTCATCGCCATTTTCGCAATACCGCCATGATTTCCCAAGAACGTTTTTCCTGCTATATAAAATTCTCTTTATAACGCCAAATTCGCATACCGCCATCCGCCACCCTGTTTTCACAACAAACGTCCATTTTGAAGTGTCAATTATCTCGATATACCGCCACAGGTGCATGTGGTCAGTGAAGCGCGGCTAATTGGTTGACGCTATCCCTGTTGTAAAGCATGCAAAGGCAGACAAGGTAAATGCAATTGAGTAATTAAACAAGAATAAAATAAACAATAATTTTAACATGAACTGTTATGATAATTTTGTTTTCTGTTTAATAAAAATATTTAGTCAAGGCTTCGCCACGAAAGCGGTCGTTGTTAAAGTACGCCGATAAAGATATATTATTTTGATGATCTCTACATTCAACAATGCAAAGTTTGCTGAAAAAATACGGTATAAAATGTGAACGTTTCATTAACAATGATGCCATAAACAATGAATTTATTCAAGAATGAATTTTACATACTATCGGCAATATATCACGACGATCCACCCAGCATGTTTTTTTTTCAATATCAGACGTGCAGATTTACATGCATACTTATGTACTTGTCTTTATTTCAAAACTGCACATTTTGTTTTAGCGAAATTGTACATTAAAAAAAATTACTTGAAGTACTTTCAATGAGAAATATGTTTTTATATACATGTGTATGTAATATTAAAAATAGAAACGCTAAATGGTATTTCTAAGAACGGTAACTCTACTTCTTGTTTTCTAAAAGATGGGAAATTCAATTCATCGCCAAATTCGTTATACCGCCATGATTTCTAAATTACAGAAGGTGGCGGTTTATCGAGAATTAACTGTATGTTTGAATCGATTCCATAATTGTGAAATGATATTTTGTGACACATTAAGGTAGGTCGCGGGTTTGCTTTTGTCATCAATTTTGGTACTCAATTTCGACGATTCGAGCGGCTGTTTTGTGCACATTTGATTATGACATCAGCTACGTCACAAAGGCAACGTTGCGTTGTTTCCCGTTTAATTCTCTGCAAATGACTTCAAGTCTGTACGAATCAAGTAGATTAAAACAAAGTGCATGCTATTACATGTAAACCTCGTACATGTTTTATAATTAAATTTTAGTCTGAACTCTGATGTGGTTGTATGTAATGCCCTAGGAAAAATTAAATACAATACCAAATGAAAGGAATAATTTATATTGTAAGTATTACTAAACTGATAAAAGTCAATCAGAATAAGTCAGCGCACGATGAAAGTTACCGGTATGATACGCAGAAAGAAAGTTATCACAAATAAAATTGTTTAGCGGAAAACTTGAGAGGTTGTATTAGCGCACGTTATTTGCAACTCGGGGGAACATGCGTTTTCTTCACGACTGCTAATCAAAGCCGGGGCGAAAATATGCGTATAATTTTCAGGATGGAATCAATCCTCAACACTAAAAACGCATTAAATTTAATACAATCATGTATTTTCCTATTTTTTTCCTTATTATCTTCATCATTTTTACTAAGTATTGTTTGGTTATTATGTATTCAAATCTTGTGTAGTCGCCTTGTTTTACTAGCGAATAAATTGTGAAATGCATTGAAAATCCAAAATTATACAAACACCTGAACTGTAAGACCTATATAAAACTGTAAACAATTTACAAGTATCTTTTTTTCTATAATTAAAAGTTTTAAAACAAAAGCTCTAGTCTAAGTGTAAAAGCTACATGCAAGTATGTATTTTACATTTTATGGAAATTTAAGAGAATTCGAAATTAACAAATGTTTTAGAGTTAGGCCCATATACCAGCTTGCGTCGAAAGAAAATTGCAAGTAACCCCCCCCTCTATTTTCCCCAGTATCTGGAAGTTTTTTCTTTACCGTTTTCGAATAAAGTGATCAAATTTATGTGTTATGCCTGAAATCCTATTCACCATGAATTTCCTAAAAATGCAGGAACTAATATTTTATCACTCGCGGTGTTGTCGTTTCATGTTAATTTTCATGCACGAGGAATGTTTATACCGTTCATTCTGACTCTGTGATCAGAATATGAATTTCACAATACTAGTGAAAATAAGTTGCTGGTCATCCTAATATATCTTTGCATAAAGGTAAATGATAAACTAAAATTAAATTTTGCGTCTATGACATCTTTTAGATCTTGCATATTCCAAATGTCAGAATATTTATATTAGTACAGTAAACGTTGCTGCGTTCAACGTATGACGTTGCTGACATAAATAACGCCATAAACGCAACATTTTAGCAATATAAACGGAAACTTTGAAATTATTTAGCAGAAAATCCAGCGAAAAGACATGTTGATTTTTTTATATCAATAGTTTTGATTTTACCTCACCTTGACCTTTTGAAATTCCTGATTAATTCGTCTACGTCTTTAAAAAGTTATCCAACTTTTTTAAAAGAAACTATTTTCACAAAATTGGATTAAAAACGTCATTTTTCCATATATTTCAATAGTAAAGCGTAAAAAATGTACTTATAACAACACCGCGTTTACAGTTATATAGCATTAAAACTACGTAGGCAAATTTTATAAAAATTTCAGATAATACGCTGTAAATTCTCAGGAACATTATATCAATTTTTCAGGATATGTTTTCTCGTAAGAATTTTTATGCAGTAAACCCGCGACCTACCTTAAAGTGTGCAACAACAGTTCTTTGAATATTGCCAGATTGAAGCATACCTACAGCTTGGGCTGTCTCAGAGCCGGTTAATTGACGTCTCATGGCTTAAAATATCACAGGGTCATTAAAAAATATTCACAACTTTAAACACGTATTCAAATTAACAATTTCGTTATTTCTATATATACCCTGAATCACTTTGTTTTTCATACTGTGTCGGAATTCAGTAAAGCATGAATTGGGCATGAATTGCATGACCCTACAGGAAGCATTTTCGTATCAATAACATCTTAAAGAATGAATGGTTGAACTATAACGTAAAAAATATATTATAATTATTTTTGGAAAACAATTCAAAACCATGATCCTTAACTTATTTTTTCCAGTATATAAAGCACAGCATGTTTACTGGCCATTAAAACTGGTTTACCGGTTACCATATAATTTAATTAGTAGAGAACTTTGTGTAAGATTTCAGGGATCCCAACATTTGAATCCATTGGATCCCTTCCCATATCACACAAATAAAGCTTCCAAATTACACTACAGGGGAGATAATCATATGACAAGTACAATAGAAATTTGGTACCTCAAACACTGATATCTTGATAACTATGGATATGTATCAATGGGATTTGGAAGTTCCTTCCACTTATTCTGTAAGTATTTTACCCTTTATATATTGTAGAAGTACTTTCTTACGCATGTTATTAATTTACGCTATGTATGCGGTCACAATCTTTTTGCATAAATTTGTACCATGGGACACAAATACATGTAAGGCATAATAGTGAGAACCTAGGAAATCTGCGTAATTTTCTACCTGTTTATTAAAAGAAAATAGAGATTCCCCGAAATTATGACCCCATGGAAAAAAGTATGTCTACAGTATCTCGATTACTCAAATATCTCGAAGGTTACATCAATCCCATTGAGTTATTGAGATAGTGAGATTTGACTGTAGTGTACTTACCATTGATATAGCTACTGTACCCCGTGTCGCTCTGGTTAACAGAGGGTGGGGCCTGTAGTTTGGGCAGGCTCCCGTTGATGGGGGGTAGCGTCGTCTCGGGGTACGTTGACGTGTGATGACTGGTCCCATTGGTGATGTCGGGAAGAACAAAGTCGGAGTCGGGGTGGATGATTTTCCCAGTGTCAAGGTTAATTAAGGCATGGAAGCTGAAAAATCAAACAAGAAATATCAGTTAATTACAATTTTTACATTCGACAATTTAACCACTAAAATCAATGTGTAATCAGCGTTTTTTGTCTTTTGTACTCAAATTAGGACTCAGTTCTGATATTCTTAAGATCAAGGTAAAGACATTTTCTTTTAAAGATTAAAATATTCTTTCCAAATATTAACGAAGCCTAGCTATCTGTGACACATTTGATTAGTAATTTTATAAATTTCATTAAACAATGAAAAATCTTGAATTGATCTCAGGTTTCATCTTGTTGCATGCTCCTAGATCTTGATTAATTTTCTTTCTCAATTCAAAAAGAATTAATTCTAAACAAAGAGATTTTTTTAAAGATTCTTTGTGCACTTCATAATGAATAGACAATGACTTGTAGTGTTGATAAATTATTTTTTCTACAACTATGATTTTGCAGTATCACCCAATAACATGAATAAGAGATGCCAATTTCCTTCCATTATTAAGTAAATAAATCTCATAATTTCCGCATAAAAATCATAATAGGATTTTGTGACAATTTTGTTAATCCAAACAGGCCTCTTCATCAATAATATATAAGGACATTATGTCTTAGAATTCCCATTTCTGATGAAAAAAAATCTTTAACCTTAATTATATCTGCCCTGTACATTCTATTTATCAGAATCGGTTAATTAATTATTTATTACGAGACAAAACAGAAATCAACATGCAGTGATTGTGAAAAACACCAAGGCAAACCCTCATATAGCAGCTTTAATGAAAGTTCTAGCTATGACCACAGGAGTTCGCGTACCTATCAATTTTACCGGAATTTTCAGTAAATAAAAAAGATACGTAATACCTATAATAATAACACAAGGAGTACAACGCATTTTAGGTCACCTGGGAACCCCTCGCTTCATATCAAGGCTGTCGCACAATTAATCTTCAATCGAAAATTATAAAACACAAACCAATCTTTTTGGAAGGGACCATTCTTTATGGCTCTTAATGCATATAATTTCAAACGCATGTTTTACAGCAGCAGCAGTGACTTTTCTCCTCAACTTCGCTCAAACATCCGTTGTCTGCGACGCCACGACATGACATCACGGGCGCTTCCATTTACCCAAAAAGGAACAAAACTGCCTGAAATGCTAATCTAGATGATTGAGGTCATATGCGAAAAGAAACCAGAGACAAGTTAGTAGACATTCAAGAAAATTTAAAACGGGGAGGTACAAGTACTTGTACTCATATCTAAACGTAATATCGTTATCTCTAGTTAATTGTGTATGATTGGCTTTTTTTTGTTCCTTTTAGGTAAATGGACCGCCCGTGACGTCACGTCATGGCATCGCGGACAACGGTTGCTCTCCTTGTGTTATTATTATAGGTATTACGTATCTTTTTTATTTACCGAAAATTTCGGCAAAATTGATAGGTACGCAAACTCCTGTGCTATGACGCAACTGAAGAGATAAATGTCAGATATTATAATTGACTAAATAACTGAAGAGTAATCATAGTTAACTATGATACATACATGTAGTATGGAGATATTTGAAATTTTAAAACCCTTGTGAAAATTCAAATTTGAAGTTGATGAAAAATACAAAAAAATCTTTCTTGAATAATTGCTGAAGGCACTCTTTAAAGAATAATGTTTCATCTTTTAAAATTAAATATGGCAATTTAATACACATTTGAGAAATGTACTTTATCAGATTATAATCTGTTAATTGAATTTCACTATATGTAGCAAATATTTTTGTCATATATTAAATCTGATTCAGATGAATGCATTGAAATTTCATGGGAAAAAAATTCACATCAATTATGATGGATACAACTATATATACACATATAAAATTAAATTTTCTCCTGTTCCTTTCTTCCACACAGACCCCCACAAAGATTTAATTGAGATCTTTTAAATAATATACATTTTGGATTGAGAAAGTACTTTTTCCTTCATATTTCTTTTTCAAAACCATTCAGCTTTATGTGTGTTTAATAAAACATTGCTGCCATAAAATTCATTTCAACTTTATTCTATCTCTATGTCATAAGCACATGTAGCATGTATGAAATGCTAAGTTCTCTTTCTGGAAAACATAGGACGAACATCACAAATGAATAAGAGACCCATAGGCCACAACGCTCACCTGAGCACTGTGGCTAGGAAAAAAGCAGAAACAAGTACAGTGACTTTTTGTTTTACCCTTTTAACTGTGAAATTGCATTGTGGTTCCACCCTTTGATTTTTTCAGACACCGAGTCAAAAAAAAGTCCCTCACCTTTTCCTTCTGGGGTCAGGGTCGTTGACTATTCTAGTAATAGGACTAGGTGTTCTGGCCTGTCTGGGGGCGAGGTAAAAATTCTCCTCCGTAGTAAAATCTACAAGTACAACAGTTTATTAAATGAACAAGAGGCCCACGGGCCTTATAGGTCACCTGAGTATCATGTAACAACTTTCCAGCGATTGCATTTGGTTCATGCTTTAATCCAAAAGCCATAAAATTCACAAATTTTGAAGGAGGCACCATTGCTTATCAAAGGACAGATTTCAAAGCATTAATTTATTTTTAGTCAAAGTAATTTACTGGTAAATTGTACCCAGCGGCCCTGAAATTATCTATTTTGAAAGAGGCCCCTTTCTTCATTATAAGGCCAGCATTTTTTTTTATGTTCAGGTTTAGTTATGAACATTAGAAAAATTTTTTTTTAAATATGTGTTAGGTAAATGTGTAGACATTGTTCTAAAATTTACTTGATGCCTAAAATTATAACTCTTATCATAAAACAGACAGGGAGAATTGGGGAAGTAGGGTGAACATTTTTTCAATTAAGTGTAAAATAATTTTTCTGGCTGATACAAATGATACTACATGCCTGTATATATTTGTATATTCTTGCCTTTTAATAGTTGAATTTTTTTAAATTTCTTCAGGTTATTGTTTATTTCTTCCTCAAATGGACTTAACTTAAAAACCCAGTTTTATTCATTACATCTGTGTGCATAAGCAACCCTTTTCTGAAGAATGATGCTTAGATTGTAAGCTATAACAGAGTCCTAAACAATGTCGCTGGCAATATGCAATAGCTACCACGGGCAGATTAAAACCTGGGGGAGGAAAATAATTTACAGACAGATACTTTTGAAACGAATACATAACACACTTATCTCACCAGCATGTCATTGTGCAACAAAGTCGTCAGCATTTTATTTGTCCTTTGAACGGGTGAAACGTTTTGAATGGCATTCGTATCAAAGAATTTTACACTAAACCAAGCTATCTTCTCAGACCATCTGGCTTTATTTACCCGCCGTTTCATCTTAATACCGGAAGTGCGAGTTCGTAAATTTGAAATCTCGATCCCGACTCAAATTTGACATCGGAAAGAAAATTTTTTTAATTTTTTCTGAAAATTCAAAACCTTGAGCGCAGGGTTTGTAAAACTGAAAATTAAATAAATCCTGGCCTTAAATATGTAATTAGATCATTAGTATTGTATATTAACAAGGAGCAAAGGATTAGATGTATATATATATATATATATATACAATCATTAGAGCCCCCCCCCCCCTAAAACATTAAACTAAACTTTATCATGGGGCCATAAAATTCACAATTTTGGTAGAGGCACTCTTGCTCATCATAACTATGTACTGTAGTTAGTTTATTTAATACCCAGGAGCAGAGAAAAGGATTTTCAAAGAAATCATGTTTTTCACTATATATAATCACAGAGCCCCACCCTAACACCAGGTCCCCTGACCATGGTGTCATAAAAACTTAATCAATTTTGTTAAAGGCACTCTTGCTCATCATAACTATGTACTTATTGGTTTATTTAATACCCAGGAGCAAAAAAGATTTTCAAAGAAATAATTTTTCACTATATAGGTCACCCCGTCAGCACTAGAACCCCTGACCCCAGGGCCATGAATTTCACAATTTTGGTAGAGGACTCTTTGCTGATTACAATATGCAAACAGTTTGACTGCTTGATGTCCAGGAGTAAAGAAGAAGATTATTAAAGATTGCATTAATTTTAGTGGTTTTGGCCCCACCCCCCAGGCCCAAGGGGGGCCAGGTGTCATTTGAAATTCAACTTTTGTTATGCCTTCACCCATAGATGCTTTGTGCCAAATTTGGTTGAAATTGGTCCAGTGGTTGCTGAGAAGAAGCTGAAAATGTTCAAATGTTAACGCACGACGAACGACGGACGACGCACGACGACGGACGAAAACAGATAGCAATAGGTCACCTGAGTTTACTCAGGTGACCTAAAAAGGAAAAGATTTATCACCACGACCACATACAAAAGATTGAGAATAAGCTGACATCCTATTGAAATCTGCTAGTATCATCATGTTTTGATTTACATACATGTACATGTTTCATAACTTGTAACAATTAAAATATCAAACCTTAAACTTAACAGAAATCTTGCAAAGTTTTTATATCTTTTTCCTAAATTAATTTACATGAGATAAATTGTATCTGTAGCAAAATATCAAAGCTTTATTTTAGTTTAATAGCTGAATTGCATACATGGTCTTTCAAAATCATTTAATATTTAGTTTTTACTTGGAAAAATCCTGGTAACAACTTCTACAGGTTTTAGCAGTTCATTAACACTCAATAAATCATGTGCTTTCAATGGGTATAACTACTCTTTATCAAAGACATGAAAATACTGTGTTCTTTAAGTGCAGTAAAGTTAAAAGCAACTTCCTTTATAAAAACAACCTTTTCAGATGTCACCTCAATCCTTACCCTAGTATTGAACAATTTAAAAGGTGGTTATCACAAAAAAGAAAATGATTTTTTTTAGTTCTGTGTTTACATGGACAGTGCATTAAAAACCCGAGTAATTAATTTCATTCAGCGTGTTAAATGAAATTCGAATATTTGATCTGTTGTTGACATTCCGTAGAAGAGGGCAAACAAACACTTGTAGTAAAAGCCACAATGGGGAAAAAGAAAACTCCTAGTCTTTGTATTGACTTTTAAACCTCCTAACACACTTATTACCCATGCATGGATTGGGAAAGATCTATTTTTTTATGTTGTTATCTTCTATATGTTCTAGAAATTGCATGGTCTCTTGCTGACTTTTTCATATACCTTAATTTCTCAGTACTTGCATTGTATGTGTGTTGGGGGAAGGGGGGGTGAAAGAAAATAACTGTCTAGTACATAAATTTTTTCTAATTGCACACCCCTGCTATGCTAACACGATTGAAATGCCTAATTTATAAATTAAAAAAATTCTCTCCATCAAGCCAATTAATGACATAAAGTTATACAGGAATTTTTTCCACAAAGTAATTAACTATATATATATATATATATATATACATATATATATATATATATATATATATATATATATATATATATATATATATATATATATATATACATATAAAAGCTACCTCCTAAACTTGATTAAACTAAACTTTATCATAATCATAAGAACACAATCAAAAGTATGTTTAGAAAAAATATATGTTGTGTGCTAGATAATGGTCAATCAGTGAAAATATAAAAGGTGTGATTTTAACTCGTCAAAATGATATATAAAACAAACCAGATTAGCTCAGTTATAATGCATATCAGACAACAATATCAATATCAAGTGTGCACAATACGCCATTGTCATTTTTAGTAAGACCTTTCATATGAATTTTTATATATAAAAACATGCAGCCAAAATCACTCTCTTGGCTGGTTTCCATCACACTGTCAACAATTAGGATTAAGAAAAAAATACAGACATAAAAATCACATAAAAACTGTTAACTCAATCACAATTCTGGAACACACAAGTTCAAGTCTGGGTTTAAAAAACAAACAAATTTAAATTGTAAATCATGTGAAGAAAGGTCAATATAGATGTTCCATTATAAAAACCTTGGGTTATATATATTTCACACATTTTCGTTGTACATACCCACGGTATTTGATCTACTTAGCGACTGACTTAAAGCTCGCTGCTGATTATTTGAAGTTGCAGGGCGCTCTGATGTCGTAACTATAGAAACAGTTCATAATATAAAAACATAGTACACAAATCATAACCTTTTCGACCCCTTTTTTATGAACCTTTTCCCCATTTCAACAAATTGACTCATTAAAATAATATTTCAGTTTGATCTACACATGATTCCTAACATTACAAAGTTTAAAGACCTAATGAAGCATTTTCTGGCTTTTTTAAATTTTTGGCCATGCTCATTTTTCAATAGACTTAAGCTTGCCAATGGGGATACTTAAAGTACTTGCACCTAGTTTCTGCATGGAAAAATATTGTTTTGAAATCGGTTTGTTTATACATGCTTAGGCCATCTTTTAAAAAAAATGTCTGTTTGCATGCCCTCTCTTGATCAACTGCCTAAAATTGGCCCGACTTAAAACTTTTTTACTTCCAGGAAACAAATTTTTTTAGCTCCTGAATTTTTTTTATATTTTGTTCTTAAATTTTCTGGAAAAAAATTCCCCACCTACCTACCAACCGAATTTTTTTAACCTGAGTCAGAAAAGGGCATGTACACAAACATTTTAAAATAGGATAAACATCTTTCGACCACTTAAATATTTTTCAAAAAAAAATTTTAACTTCACATAAACATGCTACCAATATACTGCTATATATACAGTATGTGCATTTAAACCATTCAAAGACATGCGCAATTACAGTAATTACACACCTAACACTTCTTCACAGTATGTTCAGTAGAAATTTTAGAGTTCTTGAAAAATGAAAGGTTCAAAATGTTCCACTAAAGAGGGTATATTTGTTTATCTTTGGGTGTTTGGGGGTCAACTGTTTAAATATAATAAACTTGGAGAGTGTATTTACCTGCTCGTCCAGTCCAGTATTGGTTTACAGATCAAATATGGAACCATAATACAGAACATTGAGGTGTAGGAGAAATAAAAAAACAATTATGTCCTATTTTCTTAATGGCTTTAAAAATCAAAATTTCAGATCAAGACAGGAACTTGTGAAAGCTATATTGATATACTTCACTGTTAATAGCCATTATTTACTTAACAAAACATGTTGTTGAAACAAAGTGGTGTTTTACAGTGGCAAATTTAAATTTGACGTTTGATTCCTTCAAATCACACCAATTAACTCAACATGCAGTCTTTTCCAACTTGTTTGTTTGTTCTTCTTGAAAGTCCCTCTGGAGAATTTTTTGCTCCCATGCCACTGCTTTCCAGTGGAGAGCTGCTATACATGGCACTCAGGGCCATTGAGCAGTGAAGTATTTTCTGTGCCAGCATCTACTGTGACACGGCAGATTTGAACCCACAAGCAAGCACTCTAGCCAGTGCCTATAACGCAGGCAACTTTTTCAACATTCAGTGTTAATTCAGGTCTCTTTTTTTTCTTTGCATAAATTCTTTCTCATGTATACTTGTCAAATAAAAACTCAAGACTGCTTATTTACATTTAAAAAAAAGGACAAACTAGTTAAATTTGAATTGTAAACAATGCAAAATTGCTGCTTAATCCAAACAAAGATATCAGACAATGTCTGGCTGTACGTTTATTTGATATTCATTTTCTTTCTATAGATTCCATGTAATTCCAAAATTTCTAATTTAAGTTTATCAGCAATCCCTAAATCAATTCTTGGGTACAGCTTGTGTAACAATCGTAATATCTTCGTGAAATTAATCACACGAATGGATCAATTATATCGGCAGATACCACACTGTTCTACCATCTAACTGTAACACCTGGGATTATAATGTCGCTATCAGAAAAACCTACATGTCAATTTCTACCCGGGTTTATCATGGATTCTTCAATTTTTAATTTTTCTACCTATACCGTTATCAAGTTTTTAAATCAGACTTATAAATATATATATATATATACAACGACAGAAAAGCCTTTATTTTTAATTTGACGAAAATTTCTATAAATCTGAAAAAAAAAAAAACACTTTTGATTCCAATATTGATAATTTTATTGAATGCATCTTTAAATTACAACATTTTCCCATGTTTTTTTTTTTCTTTAAGCATGTTATGTAGCGGAATAAAAAGCACCTGTTTAAGTCTTGTGCGAAAAAAGGGTTTACATATGTATCCATAGATGTAAATATTTTCCTATTATATGTACTGGCCCAGTCAATTTGGTATGTGATAATCTGAAACACCAGTTAAACAAGACAAAATAGCATTTAAAAATTTCGTTCCAGTGAAAAATCGTCCGGATACTGAAGCATCCAGATATCTGAAGGTCCACTGTATATGTACTGGCTGGTATTGATAAAAACATCTGCAAGGTTAGGAAACCAAGTAGAAATACACATTTTATTCAAATATGGATGCATGTTTTTACTAGCAGGAATTTTAACATGCATTAACAATTCCAAAAAAAAAAAAAAAAAGAAAAATATGCATATTTCTAAAGGATTTCTACCAATGCTTGATTCCAGATTATTAACTGACAATAAAATCTCTGTAGTAGAAATATCAGTCTACTTCAAGCCTTGATAAGGACTTTTAACCAAGGAAAAAAAGGAAAGGTACTAGCTGACTTCATTCTATAGATTCCATTCTATATTTTTTATCCCAATTTAACATAATACACCTAAATCAGGTTAATCTATATGGTGTTATGATTGGCTTTTAAGGGATTTACACAACATGGACATTTTAAAATTTAGAAAAAATGTTAAAAGCATCATTTACTCTTTCAATAGAAAATGCACGATCATATCTGGGCTTTTATATTCATTTTACACAAATAAAAACAGCGCCTTTGCCTCTAACAAGTCTAAGGTTACTTGGAAATTGTGCTAAAAGCATGGAGTCTGTCCATGTTAGGGCTTAATTTTATAGGTTATCTGCCCCTTGCTAATGAAAGCAGTCTTGTCTTATTAAAATATTTACGAAATATCTATTAAGTGTAAGCATTTTATCTGCCTTAGCTGTTTGTATTCAAGGTCCACAGAAAAACCAATACAGGTCCATTAAGCATTTGTTAAGTGAATCTTAATCTTTAGATAATACTCTGTTCAATTATTTTCTTATTTTCATGTTTGAAAAAAGGTTTCAACAAACTAATTTACAAGAAAATACAATTAAGGATAAATATTTTTTAAAATACTAGCATAAAAAATATTTAATGAGCTCATATTATGCAAACCTCAATGACTTTTTAAAAATTATGATTTCAGTTTGAAATTTTATGAAACATTAAATGCACATGGGTTTAGCCAACATTGTCGTTATTTTTTATTCAGCAATGTTCTGCATATTTCAAGTATTTTATGGCAGAAGAAATTATAATTATGCATGCAGAATTGCAGATTCAGATGAACTGCCACAAATTCATAATGAAAACATATGAAATCTTGGGTTGAAGCAGTAAATTTATACCCTAGCTCTCTCCAAAACACATTTATCAATTTTACACAGTATTTATGAATCCAAATTTGTTCTGTAGTTTTGTCTATGCAATTTAAGCACATAAATGTATAACCCCACCCACCCCTGCTCTGAAATGCCACCTACATTCCTCAACTAAGCCAGTTTTCTGAATTACTTTGTTTTGTAGATTCAATAGACAATTGATAGATGTACAGTATAAAGCACCCATCCACTCTCTTCTTCTTTCCCCATCCCCGCCCAAACTGAAAACCAGATCAACTTTTTCCGATATGTTCTCTGACTTACTTTGTTTTGTAGTTTCGTAGATGTAGGAGGCAGTCAGATGCCTGGCCTGGGGGCTGTAGTTGTTGCCTATGGAGTCACTGACATGTCGGAAGTGTTTCTTCTCTTTGATTGGTGCTGCCTGTGTCCATGATCCACGTTCTAAAATCTTTGGCCTTTCACTGTATGCTGGCTGCAAAGGGAGATAAATCTGGTTTGAGAGTGTCACTGGCAACAAAATCTTACCTTATACATGTTATAATAAATTGCCTGTTTGCGGACTTATATATTTTTATAACACAATATTTACTGTACATAATGATATTATACTAATTTGACCTCTTAATTTATTACGCTTAATCAATGCAATGAATGGCCGATTCAGCGAATGTCGCATGCCGCATGCCATGTCTGATACATTTACAAAAAACACAGAGCTTAGTTTACAAATACATGTAACGATTGTTAAAAAAAACTGAAACTCGTTTTAAGCCATTCTTTCTCTGTAATTTGAAGGACTTGTCTTCTAGGATTCGCCTCAACAACTTCAGAACTTGTGAGCCCTCTCAATATATATCTACAACTTCCTCTGCCGCCACTGTTGTTGTTATTGTTGTTGTTGTTATCGTGTACTTTCCTCCGTTGACTTCGGAGCACCCTGTGTGGACAGGTAGATTTCTAAAAAAATGTTTAAAAATGTCATTATCGGAGTAGTGTCTATAATCGAGATATGTTCACTGCCCTACTGTTATGAATGTCAAATAGTAGGTTCCTGCTTATCTCTTCGATATCACTTATTATCGCACTGTTTTTTCCAAGAATGTCCAAGATCTCAGTCTTAGAACTGTCTAGCAGGCACTGTAAAAGGTTAGTCGAATTGCACATAATCTTACTGACGGTCTGGGGGTTATAGTGCTGGAGTAGTAGTTGGTATAGTGCATCTAGATGTTTATCTCGGGTGGCTTGGTATGTGGAGCAGTGGAGAATAAGGTGTTCTCTATCCTCACTGGCGGCATTGCATAGAAGACAGGTTGAAGAGACTGTGTGCTGGTTGAACTTGGCTCTGTTGGACTGTAGGATATATGTTCCGGTTACAATTTTTGCCTTGATGGAAGCTTTTGCTACTGCTCTGGTGTTGTTTGGTACATAGTCCCATAGTTGGTGTGCTTGCTTTGTTGATTTTGGTTGCAGTGCTAGGTGTTTCAAGGATGGTTTGTCTGTTACTTCATTTTGTTTGGTGTTCCTGTATAGCCTGGTCTAGCATGATTTTCCATTTTCCTGTGGAGGGTGGTGTTTCCATAAGTTCGTAGGCAGTAGGCAGATGGTATTTCTGTATGCTTAGTGTGAACTTTTGATACTTTTACGCAAGTTGACGTCTGGCTACTTTATTTATGTCTTGATTCTTGATGATCTTGTAGAATGCTGTTAGTGTATTTTTCTGTATTTGGAATACATGTAAATTACAGTGAAAGAATATAATGCAAACTGTAATGACAACAGTCGAGTGATGTGGATTGCTGATGCCCCAGCGCTAACCTTTTTCAAATCGACATTGATTCATGCAGGCTTTTGATACACGAAAAGTATTTTTTTATCTACATGTATCTATTAGAATATTTCTGTATTTGGTACATGTATAATGCAAACTGTAATGCTGAGAAATAATTCCAATTTAATTAAATAAATACTGTACCTCCGTGGATTGAACGTGATACTGTATAACGTAACTACAATTTGGAAAGCTGCATTATTTGTTCAGTGCTATTAAGAATGATTTTTTTAGTTTTTTTCTCAAATTAAAATGCACTACTATACTGTACGGTTAAGCCCCCCCCCCCCGTCCTTCCTCCAACCGGCTTGATAAAGAAATGACCCTTGATCATGAACCTGCTCGGAACAAATATCCCTTCTGTTCGCTCGCCTCCTAGTGTAATGAATTTGTAAAATTAATTGAATCTTAAGAAACAAAATCTAAAATTCGATCAAAAGAATATGCACATACAAATTCTGAAAACTATACACTGCAAGCAGTAAAAAAATTCAAAATCTCTGCAGTGTGCTGAAATGTCATTACGGGAAATTAGAAAATATATAGAGATCTAGCTAAGCCAAATTTCCAAGGACTATATGGGCCAAATTTTAACACTTCTATAGATAAAAGCTCATTTTAGGAAGGAAATTAGAATACAGCACTGACCATTTTTTTTAATGATTGTTCCATATAGTCGGAAATTAGGAGGGAGTTTACTTTTGAGGAAATGTCTTTTTTGAGGCAGTACCTTGGTTAATAAATGGAGGACTAATTGCTCTTTAAATCACTGCAGGAGGAAAAAATATGAGAATTTTATTGGGCACTATTTTATGGCATTCGATATTGTTTCATTGTCTTCAATTCCATGCAAGGTATATGAAACTGTAATCACGTTTTCTTAATTAAAGGACGAAGAAATTATATGTTTATTTTTAAATAACACATTTTCTTTGAGAGCTCTGCGATTGTTCCGTGTTTTAAAATGCTGTAAATGTAAAAATACAATGAAACCAAAAGCAACTTAATATCTGGAATTCTAGACCTTTACACAAGAGGACTATTATTTCGTACTAAACAGAACAAACTTTGACCTCCACAAATAAAGAAAAGAAATGAAGGGTTTTTTGCACTGTAAAATCATGCCCTTGGCAATTCAGTGATATTCGTTTCGTTTTTTGATCGCAAGATATAACCCAATTTTAATGATAAGTAATACGCATTTTCGATCGATTTTGGATTCAATTTCCAAACCCCCAGATCACACACGATGCATTTCTTTAAAAGTTTTTATCGTGTTATTTTCATCCCTCCCCCAGCCCCATCTGCGCAAAAAGGAGAGGGGGTGTTGAGTGAGCAAATCCAAATCTTCAAATTTATCAGAACACTGCATTAAAACGAGTCGAATACTCTCGAACAGACATGCAAGTTAAAATATATATTTTTTCACATTTCTCAGACAAACAAATGTGTGTATTTGCGAGATAAATTATACATAATATTCAGTGAAGTTATTAAAATCTGGACTTCTAAAAATAATTATAAAATTTATCTGCCAAACATCAAAGAATTAAGAAAAATAATTGTTTGCTGAGCATGAATTTTATTTTACTGTACTCTGTAATTACACGTTTTCAGATTCTTACCTATATCATCATTATTTGTGAATTTGAATCATTAATTAAAGCGTTCTCATCTTTGTACTACACGAGAAGCAATAAAATTGGAGTACAGATTGAAAACTTTAGAGAAAAGTAGTCGGAAATTCCACTTTCCCACCAGGGACTAGAGGTCATGACCTTTTCTCAGGACCCCCCCCCCCCCGGGGGAGGGGGGGGGGGAGTAAGTGTTGATATACATAAAACGTACCTCTCTGGCACTCAGTGGGGGGAGATGCTGAATCACCCCGGGTCTGTGTTTCAGCTCGAACTCATTGGGCTGTGATATCGTTATTCCGAGATGACCCTGAAATTAAAAATAAATGTATAATCGTATACTGGTATATACGTTACACATTAAACAGTGTAATATAGTAATGAAGATGGGAAAAGAAAGACCATGTTAACAAAATTCAGGTTTTCTTTTCAAGAATTTTCTAAAATCATCCTTTTTGACTGAGAAATTGTGCATTATCAGCGAGGGATCTATGAAATCTTGAAATGGGACAGTTCGGGGTAGGGGCCCACAGCCACATCGCACACACAAAAACTGATTTAAAATTATTAAATTTCATGTATATTTTGGCCCCCTCTAAATCCACCACTGATTATACATCTACTTTTAGACAGATCTTAACACCCCCCCCCCCCTCCGAAATTTCATGTTATAAAAATTAAAGAATTCGGGCACGTTGGTGTCCACAGGAACTTGTTTTGATGTTCTATCATAGGAAAACGTTTAAAATACCACTACAAAGAATTAGACTGAAGAAAACCCCAGAGGACTATAGTTCATAAACATTATATTCATTATTAAAGTGTTTCATTGCATTTGATGCAAAGAAGAAAGCACACAATTGAATAGGCTATTTTTGTTTTTTAAATTCAACAGTAATAAAAAAAAATTGCTATCAACTTTAACAAATCTACTGACTGTATATACAACTGATTAAAAGTTCATGCACAGACCATGAACACGGAATATGGCTGTTCTGCTTATGGAATACATGTATTACTTCAGTTCGATGGCCGTCACTGGCCTAAACACTCAAAAATCGGAGCGTGTTATAATACCCTTCATCGTTTTATCATGCATTCGTGTAAACTAAAACATTTTAATCCAACTGTTTTCCTCAGGCGGGCAATCAAGAAAATCCTTAATCGATTTGACAAAGATTTTTTAATTGTGTCATCCAGGATTGGAATTACGCTAAGTGCATTACGTCGTTTGACCTAATGCTTGTTAATGACTGAATAAGAGAAATTAGAAAATCACATGTATATTTAAATTCCATGACACACATCTTAATGCTGTGGCTAATATTTGCTTATTGTGCAAAAGATTTGTGTCTAGTTTAACTTCTATGGTACATGACACATAAAATTAAGGGGGGGGGGGGTTACTTCTTAAGGAAAACAAGCTTCTTCTAGAGAAACAACTCCCCCATACACCCCAAACGTCTACCTTATTATTCTAATCATAATAGGGATGGAGAAATTCTTTTATGTCATGTTCACATGTTTCCGGTAATTAAGACTTTCATGAATAATTAAATTGCCACATTGTACTAAATAATATTGTGGTTTACTATACTTGTTACGAGAGAGAGAGAGAGAGAGAGAGAGAGAGAGAGACGATGTTTTTCGTTTGTAAAAAGGTGGTAAAAGTTGAAAGTTTAATTTTTAAAAAGTTCTCCTAATATCAACACCTATGTGTAAGCAATGCAAGTATGAAACAAAACAGTTTGTAAAATGAATACAAGAGAAATTGATCAGTTGAATACAGTTCATGCAAACTGTCATTATGCTTTGCCTTCTTTAAAGTTTGTACCTAGCTGTACCTATAGGTATATAAAACATACCATTCCGCCTCATTTGTAGGCGATAACTTATAATTTAACTACCGCAAATAAACAGAGCTTATACAATCCACAAAGATCCTTTCTTCACTGTGGGAAGACTATTTAAACTTCATAAGAATGAAATCAATATCACCCAACCATTGAAAAATAAATCAACAAGTAAAAAAAACTTTCTTACCGGTTTGAAAGGCATACTGACAACTATTCACTTCTTCCACTACATAATAATATATCCAATTTCTGAGAAAAATATTGAAAAAAAGGTTAATCCAAATTATATCCCAAAATTAAAACACAAGAAAATTGAAATTCCCATTTCACTTCCAGCTTTCACTATTTCCGAAGTCTTCGCGTCACACTTCAACACTCTTAGCCAACTCTTTAAATCTCGCACCTGCCCTTCTTATGCAAATGAGTTGCTCTGGTAACTATAAACAATATAGTAAGAGCCCACCCTGTGTCCGATTTGATCCACCTGAAAATTTGTTTTATTTATACATTTAAAAGGAAAAGCATAAAAAAGCGTTATCATTGTTTGTTAGCCACAGAAGGGGGGAGACCGTTGCGCGCTGTTTGTGTGTTTCGACCCGTTAGAAATTTTCTTGGGAAGTGGTGCGCTACATTTCGGAAGTATTAGACTCAGCGGGCAGAAGAGCTAACAGGAGATTTACTATGTAAATAACAAGACACAGAAGGATATATAAATTTAACGCAAGTTTACCTATATGATAGGTAAATTAAAGGTAGAAGACAATTATTGATAGACCCCTGTTGGGTATCTGAAGTTCAGATTTATTTGGTATCGCATCCCAAATCCCTCACATTCCATGGCCAGATGAACATGATGAAAGCATGGTTTATATATGAAGTCTGAAAAATAATATGATGTCTTATGATAATTAATTTACTGATCTTTACTAATTGTTAAAAAATAGGTATGCTTTACTAATTTTCCTATGAGAGAGAGAGAGAGAGAGAGAGAGAGAGAGAGAGAGAGAGAGAGAGAGAGAGAGAGAGAGAGAGAGAGAGAGAGAGAGTTTATTTTTAATATGAATACGAGAAGAAAAAATAAAACACTGTATTCATGTGCACAGTTGGAGGGGATTGAAATATACCCAAAAGCATGTTCAATATTTTCTAGATCTACATAGTTGAAAATGATTTTTTTTTACAATAATTGGGACAGAATAAAAAATATTTACATAACTGGGACATTAGGGATTAAGTTTATATCTTTATCTCACCGTAGTTTGAAATTACACACTTAAAATTGTGAAAATCAGTTTGGCTCAATGACTGAATTACAGTAATTCTCCGTAAATTAATGTCAATGTGCATATTTATTCCTCCAAACCTTTTTTTTAGTTTTAAGTAATTATTAATTTAATTGTTTCCTATTCAAAATTTATTTCCGACTCGGTTGCACGATAACATCCATAGCAAATAACACGTTTTACTTTCTTTTATTATTTGAAAGGACAAGGGTGTTTATATTCAAAGAGCGATAACCTATACCATACATCTGTCAATTTTGTATTTTGAGGTTTGAACACATTCTCGTGTAGAATTGAAATTTGCAAATCACAATCAATAGCTTACTTATGATTCAGATGTGCGTTTGCTGTAAAAATGTGACGAAATGTATTCATAATTATTTTGAATTGATATTACAATGAAGCCAACCCATTGCCATATTTTTTTTTCTTTTCGGTTTTAGATTTAAGCAAATTCAATCGTACATCACCTAAGCATAGTCTTGAAATCAAAGTGAAGTACAAATATCCATGACTTCCTTAATTCTCATAAAACTTGCAAATTCTAAATCGAGACTCCAGAAAAGGATATGTACACAATCCTCAGGCAGAAAGGATAAACCTCAAGCATTGGCGGGTCCAGAGGGGGGGGGGGGGGTCCGGGGGTTGGAACCCCCCTTTTTTCCAAGTTGAGAGAGAGAGAGAGAGGTAAACATTTTCAGAGAATAAATATTTATAGCCGTCTTACTTATGTATTGAATAGATATATTCTCATACATTTAGTTTCCTCCATTCACCTTCACCATTACTTTTTTTAATGAAAGAATGGTAGAAAATATTCTACTTATTTTTATATATCTTATATATATGTAACATGCGAAATTTAATTTGATATTAGATTCCCGCGATTTTTAGCTGCATGTCTTGGTTATCTAATGTACTGGGTTTTTTTTTTTATCAAATCTTTCGAAGGAACTAACATGTAACTCTTTATTTTAAACCTCAACCGCATCCCACCCCGAAAAAGTTTTTCAAATTCTGTAAGAAAATTCTTTGTAATCTAAGGAAATGCTGCAAATCCATATAATTTTTAGGCTTCAGTGGTTTTTGAAATGTGTTTCTTATTTTATTCGGACTGGGGGTACCTTTTCAAAGGAAAATGGGACTTAAAAAATAGATATTATTTATCACAACCTTGGATTTCCATACGTGTGTGTGAATCTCTGCTTGATAGTGTGTAAAGGGGGGCTGGTTAAAGGGGCACAACCCTGGAACCCCTCCTTTCAAAAAATGGCTGGATCCGCCCCTGTTAAACTCTTAAAATTATTACTATTAATTTCATTTATTCATTTATTTATTTGGTTACTTTTATACAGAAAACATGTCAACATTCTTAGATTTCCAAGAAAATTAATCATATTTAGATGCATGAAATAAAATTTTTTTCATGGAGCGTTTTCATTTTCAAGCTTCATGTTGAGACCTTTTTAATGAAGGTTCATAAACCCTCTGCTCACTCATATAAAATGTTGCTTGAACCATAATGATTTTCCAAAAGAAATTTAATTATATTAGTAAAATACAAACAATTAGAGCATACAGTGTAGCTTGCGAGGCAAAATTGGACAAAAAGACACTTCAACTTGGCAAATCTCTAAAGGAATAATAAACGTTTATGTCATTAAGACTTAATTCTCTTATCAGAGTATCTACCTTAAATACATTTTTGGAGAAATATAAGATTTTCTTGATTCTAGCCTGATGTGAAATACATTAATGTAAGAAGTGTTTTGTGATGTCTCGCAATAAAAGTACACGCTTTTTACACAATGTCTTATACAATATAAATTAATTGAAGGAAGATCTAGTATACCAAATAAGTATCAAGATCATACAAAGAGCAATGTATGACAAGTGTCTAGATAATGGCCTCTTAAAACGAATATCTTAATTTTACTGTAATTTGCACGGCAACACATGTGACCTTCATTGATAATTTTCAATTTGATCAAAATGCAAATAATTTAGAAATATGACATCATGCTTATTTTCAAGCAGTTTTTCTTCCAGAAAATATTAAGAGCACACTATATTCTCTTTTTGACTCACCTGAGCTGTTTTGAATCAAAATTTGTTTGTTGGTTGTCGGTGTTGATGTTGTTGTTATCGCGACCGGCATTGTCGTTGTACATAAACTTTTGAGCTCGTCTTAGCTGAAAGCCTTAGTGAGTTCTCCTGATCACATTTTGTCCGCCGTCCGTTTGTCTGCTGTCCGTCCGTCTGTAAATTTTTCACATTTTCGACTTCTTCTCAAGAACCACTGGGCCAATCTCAACTAAACTTGCCATAAAGTATCTTTGGGTAAAGGGAGTTAAAGTTTGTTCAAATGACGATCAAAGTTTAACATATAGCTAGAAATTCAAAGGGGGAAATCTTTAGAAATCTTTTCCAGATACACTGGGCTAAGAAAGATGAAACTTATGCGGAAGTATCCTTGGGTGACGACAAATGTTAAATTTGTTCAAATATTGACTACTTCAGGTAGGGAGTGGACACGACCAGTTATCAAAGCAGAGGCGTAGTCACAAACTTAAAAGTGAGGGGGCTCAAGTCCAGAAATACTTTGACAAGCAAAAAAAAAAAAAAAAAAACACACACACACAAACTTCAAAGTGAGGGGGCTCAAGTCCAGAAATTCTTTGACAGGCAAAAAAAAAAACAAAAAAAAAAAAAACAAAAAAAACCCCCTAAAGTGAAAGTTCCCCAAACTCGAAAATCCTATTTCGTGGGGGGGGGGGGGGGGGGTAGTGGACAACTTTTTTTCAAAGGCAAGTTACTTTCAATTCAAAGGCAAGTTACTTTCAATTCCAATTTTTTTACCCGCATTATACAACTATCAACAGAAATGCTTACTCAGTTGTTGAACATAGAAAAAATGCCATAAAATGAGGTTTCATATTATTTCAAAATAGCTGTTCTTCATTAAAAAGTGGGGGGGGCACAGACATACTCTTGCCCCCCCAGATCTCAAAGTGGGGGGGGCTAGTGCCCCCGCTGCCCCCCTGTGACTACGCCTATGCAAAGTGAATCTGACAATTCTTGATTTAAAAAAGAACATGGAACTTTTGTTTCTATTTAGAATTAGATTGATATTCATTCTTTAATATCCATTTACAAAGGAGACGGAAACATACTCTGAGAAAGGAAGAGGGGGGAATTTGGGGGAGGGGGGATCGAACCTCTTTGGTAGACATTTGGAGGGAATTATGTGAGAAATTTATCTCTGTAGCACCGGTTAGGGTACTGTATTTGAAAACTCAATCCAACTCCCGTACTGCAGCAAAATTTGAACTTTTAATAATTCTATCAATAGGAATATATTTGTGGAAAAACAAATGTATGTGTTACAGAAAAGATATATATCAACAATGATCTTTTCTCCATTTATTCACCATTAAAATTATCATACATACAAATGTACGAAGAAATAAATTCAAACATCTATAATTAAATATGAAAATAGGAAATACCTTGAACTCAGTATTAAAGTAAGATACTACAGAGAAATATTATATAAATATTGCATGTAGTTGTGTGTAACATTGAACATTGAAAATGTTCACCCCAAGAAAACCATTGTCAACCTCGGCTGCGCCTCGGTTGATGTTTTTTCAATGTTACACTCAACTACATGTAATATAGTTATTATATTATACAGAATGTTTTATACAAACACATATAACAGTGAGCCTCGCGCGCATAAATTCTGCGCAGTCGCTATTTTTTGGAACATCACCCGTCTTCAAGCAATGTTGACTGTTGCTACGCTGGAGGGCGTGGCTTCATTATTCAGCGGGTAATAGTATACACTTATTTAATGACTATGAGGTAAACAGTCAAAATCCCCAACTACCGAGGGACAACAGTTTGATTGTTTCACCGAATAGTCATTGAATAAGTGTTTTATTACCTAACCTACTATATAATCAATTAAATTGGAAAAAAACACACAAACAATCAATAAAACGTTTTCACAACTGTTTATTCACATATTTGTCTATTAATTAGCTGAACACATAATATGAATATTAAATTAATATTTTTAATTTAAAGTAATACTTAATAAATGGATTGTTTGTGTGTTTTATTTAAATTTGATTAATCATAGAGTAGGTAAATAGTGATGTCGTGATCATCAAAATGCTTCAATATCACGATGACGCTTTAAACAGTCAACAGTTCACTATGTGGACCGGTTAACAGTTCACTGTTTCATGATCACGCAAAAACATAAAGTAAACCGTGAAACAGTTCAAAATGCCTAATTATAATTTATATAGTAGGTTAGGTAATAGTGTTTTTTAACAAATGTTTCTCGACCAATAAAATTCAACTAATTTACATGAAAGTATAATATAAAAAATTGTATAATTTACATGCGTTTCAGATTAAAAACTAATATTTTACAAAAATAGTTTATTGTCTGAATATTTTTTGGAAATATTAATAATAGCTAGGGATTGTTCAACATAAATGGAAATAACTAATACCGGTAGTACATGCATATTTAAGTGAATGCAGTATGATACTCTGAAATTGTAACTATCTGGCATATTTAATTTTTTTTAGATTTCCAGAGCGACGATCCTCAGCAACAAAGAGATTATCACTTTTGTCAACACACAAACATGTAGGTTCTTTTAAATCCCAGTTATCTATGTAACGGAGGAACTGTCCATTCTGGTCAAGAATGTGAATACAGTTGTTATAATAATCTGATGTCAGGATCTGACACTGACTATCTGTTGTGATCCCCCATGGCTTGAATGATTTTTTCTTAGTAGTAAATATATGACCAGTGTATCTGAATCTGAGTTTACCAGCCTGATTGACTACGACTACAGCGCCAGCTCCAAAGTCAGCCACACAGATATCAAGGTTTCTGTTTTCTCTGATGTATTTAGTGCAGGCATTCCCCGAAAAAAGAGGTTTACCCTGTTCATCAAACTGGATTGTTTGTTTTTCTGTGGAGTCTGTGTAACGAACAACTTTGGATTGTATTTTATCATCACTGTACATAGTAACCATGAGATCACCAGAGGCGGTACTACAGAGTTGTTTAGGTACCCAACGCTGTAGTGTGAACATCTCCTCTATCTGTCCATTCCTTACTTTATTCACAGTCCTTGTTGGCCCATCAGAGTACACCAGATCCTCATCGCCTGTCAATGTTATATCATTTGAAGATTTCCCTGATTTTGTTTGGACAGTCTTTTTAACCGAGCCTTGTATGTTCAAACATTTTAAATCATCTGTGGTGCCACAAATCCAAATTTCTTCTTCACTTAGGCAGGTGACACCGTTGATACGATTAAACCCGGTACTTATAGACGTAATCAGTTCGGGTGATTCCAGGAGTATTTTACTTGTGGCCACCATTTCCTTCAACCCGTAACCTTCTTCTTTTGTGATGGATAAAGGTGATAGAGATCCAAATAATTTATAAATCTGTTCCCTGTTTAAATTTCCTGTAGTAAACTTTGGTATTGATATTTGAACTTTGGGAAGAAGTTTACCGAATTCTTTAATTTTTGGAGTGTATTCTAAAGCCAGGATTACTTTATTCGACTCTTCGATTTCCTTTAGAGTGAGCAGTGTTTGGTCCATAAGAGACTGTGTTTCCTTGATTTTGCAAAGGTGTTGTTTCAGAATGCTTTTGTGTTTGTCTTTCATCTCATTAATTTCCTTTTTCATTTCATCTACAATTCTGTCAATTTCTTTGTGCCATTCTTCTCCGTGTTTCGTCACTAACTCTGTAAGATTCACGTAATCCCCATCTAAACTTGTCATCTGAGTTTCTATGTCCATTGCTAATGATTCATATGTTGGTAAAAGGTTGTTTTCTATTTCTTTTGTATCATTTGTAAGGGATTCTTTCTTTGCATCAAGCATTTCTGAAAGGACTAAGAGATCATGATTTTTGTGTTGAATGGAGACCGAGCATAATAAACAAACAGGAATGTTGCATTCCTTGCACTGTAACTCACAGCTTTTGGTTGGATGTATTGTACACCTTGGAAAAACCAAGGTTGTTTTCCGCTCTTCGAAAGGAACCACTTTATGTTTATCATAGCCATCTGAAATATGTCTTCCTATGCAAGGTATACATAAGTTAACATCACAGAAATCACAGTGCATCTGTACCACAGCAGTCTCACAAAGATCACATCGGATAACATCTTGGGCACTGCGCTGGGGGTCCATTACTTCGAAATTTCTGCAATTGATTGTAAGATTAGAAATGTACGTAGAATAATGTAACGTATCATTAAGATATGATATACATTTTATTTTACTGAGTTAGTCATGACGAATGTTATAATTTAGACATTTTAAAAAGTTTTTTAATATAAAATGAACTGCCTTTATATCTGATGACTATTTTTGAAAACGATATTCTTAAAATGTTAACGTTCTGTTTTCACATTTAACGTTTTAAAAGATGTCCTTCTTTTGTGGCATCATTGGAATCCAAAGGCATACATTTGCAGTAGATTTAATGATATGCTTTTCTATAAATTTTACTTGAGCTGAATTGTTTACCATTCTATCTAGAATTATCTGATATTTTTTCCCATTTAATCAAATGATCCATAATTGAAGGACAAATGATACAAACAATTTTTTTCTTTGAAAAAGATTTAATTTCATGTCACAAGTTTAGAAATGTGGATGGTTCTTAGAATCTTTTCTCCTAAGAACTGGAATATGAAAAAGACTTGGAAATTATTAGTTATATTTCAAAGAAAAAACAAATATAGACAAAACACATTCAGTATAGGTTTAAAGGTGAAAACAAATTCTATAATATGTTAACATGGTGCTAAAAGTGTAATATCATCTTAAGAAAAATATACCATGCCAGGTGAAATTTATTAGGAAAAGCTAACTGGTAAAAATCAGCCTATTTGATATTGCTAATTTTTTTTGTAATTTTGATCTTCCTCTTAAAATTCACTTGGCTTGGTATATTTTTCTAAGGTTTATATTACACTTTTAGCGCCAAGATAACATATTCTGAAATTTGTTTTCACCTGTAAACCTCTACTGAATGTGATTTGTCTATATTTGTTTTTTATTCAAATATTACTCATATTTTCCAAGTCTATTTCATTTTCCAGTTCTTCGGAGAATAAATTCTAAGAACCATCCACTTTCCTAAACTTGTGACTTGATATTAAATCTTTTTCAAAGAAAAAAATTGTTTGTATCATCTGTCCTTAAATGTACACTACAAAAGGTATATTTCAATCTAATTGGGCAATCTGCAATACTGATGTTTCTAGGATTTGAGAGATTTGTTCTATCAATAATTTACTCCCAATAAGTTATTTTAAATTAAGATTTTCTAACCAGTCACTGTCTTTAAAGGCATTGCAGTATATATACGTTTACTTTATCACAAAAGTTATTTTTCAAAATGTGGAGAAGGTAATATTTATTTTAGATCTTTCACTTTAAAACTTTCAAGCCTTTCAAGTTTAACCCATCTCATTTCATCCACCCCTACCATTCAAGATTTATCTGGATAAAACATTAATGCAGGTCTTTTCCGCTGCTTAAAAATTAAATTAAAAAGAGTCAAAGCACATCTTTGGGTTAAATAAAAAAAAAATCAGCAAAAGTATGAAAGTAAAAAAAAAAATTAATGCATAAGCTTTATTAAGAAAACAGATTGAATTCGGATGGGCTAAAGGTAACTTTATGTACATTTTCCACAAAGTCGTCTTGTTAGGTATTTACATATTTATCTATTTTCTTTACCCCTTTTATTAAAATATTTTTAAAAGAGAAAATATATGCATAAATTGCATTTATCATTGTTTTATCATATAAAATCGCTTATTCAACCAAGGCATAAGAAGTAAAAACTAAAAAAAAATTATCCATTTGAACAATTTATATTCAAAGATATCTAGCAGATATCCAGGTATTGATTTATTATAGTCAATCATGTGACTGAGGTAAACGGTTCATTTATTTACAGAGTGCAAATATTTCAAAAAATATTTATTGAGTGAAAATTTACAAAAATTGAATATTTAAAAAAATGCACTTTTGGTGAAAACCATCATTGCATAAATAATAAATGTTTATCATTGAAGGGTAAGTTGGACGTCAATGGTCTTTATAAGGATCTTATTGAGAGAAGACTGAAGACAATTACTGTAATTCTACATACATTTGCAATGTACTTTCGGTTTCAAATCAAAACATTTAAAAAAATAAACAGGGAAAACAACTTTCCAGAGGCTATTAAAGTTCAACTTGCCCGTCATTAATAAACATATATTTTTTTGGCTGCAATGATGGCTTTCACTAAAAGTACGTAATGAATTAGGTGTTTTTTTTACAAACAGATAGACAGTTTTAAAAAATAATTTTTCTCGATAATTTCTTTTTTCAGTATATTTGTTATCATGTTGTTCTTTTTATCTGTTTATCAATGATATATTTTTAAGATCTTAAAGTCTCAACTTTATAAACCACATAGTTTTAGACCTATTGTTAAATCAAAGTACTGAAAGTACTGATAAGGAGGCTTGGAATGAACATGATTTGTTGTCTCTTTGGGAATTTTTTATTCATATTCTGACCCCAACATTTGCCTAAAGGTAGTTGGCCATATCTTTTGAACATTAGATACCAGGACATTTATACTTCATATTTGTATTTTTGTGGAAAGACCTTTCATTAGATATTAACAAGCTTGACCTTTTGACCTTGACCTACGAGATTCCATACTTATGAAGAAACTTTAACCTTGGCCATAAGTTTTGAATGGTAAGGGATAAATAGTGCTTTTTATACGTACATATGTAATCCTTGTAAGAAGACCCAGAACTTTGACCTTTTGACCTTGGAGTTTGACCTACTTTTATAAAGCAAATCTTGACCATAACTTGAAAGGGTTTTGGGTTAGTGCTTTCATACTTTATATATTTAATCCTTATGACAAGACCTTTCATTTTATAGCAAGACATTTGACTTTGGAGTTTGGCCTACTTTAAAAAAAATGTCATTTTTCATAACTTTTGAAGGGTTAGGGCTTCATACTTCACATATGTATTCTTTGTGGAAAGACCTTTCATAGCATACCAACAATCATGACCTTTTGACCTTTACCTTGGAGATTTCCGTACTTATGGATTAACTTTAGCCTTAGCCTACTTTCATATTTCACAATTGTATTTCCAGTAAGAATACCATACTTTTGGTACCAATATATTAAATTTGCATCTTCGCTATATTGCCACACGGGGGGCCAGAGTGTTTCACAAATACATCTTCTTCATCTATTTATCGTGGTCTAATGTTTAATTATGTAATTTACTGAATTCCCATTTTTCATCAAAAGGACAAACCACTCTAATTGCAATAAACTATATTAATTTGAATTCTTTAGTGACTCATGGTAAGAGCTTCCTGAAATGTGAGAAAACCAAAAGTACTTTAGTATATCTAACTCTTCAGGACTAAAAGGAGCTGAGATACAAGCATTCAGATATATCAATGCATAGATGTAAACATGCACATTCAACTTTTGATTAACAATTCTGTTGTGTTGGGTAATGAACACGAAGAGGATGCAAATATTTCAAACATTATGAAAAATATTAAGCAGAACAAACGCCTGTTTGGTCCAGATCATAAAATGTACTAAGCTCTATAGCTTTTATTTTCCAGTGTGCATTAATCCTGACTTCCAAATTCTTACTTGACTGGTGATACCTTAAGAAAACATTTGCATCCAGGTGAAAGTTGACACGTACCGCAAAATGTGTAATCCCATTGTTTAAGTTTAATAAAGTGATTACAACGCCTTAATACTAGATCTCATGGATTCAACGATACCCTAATATCCAGTATTATATGTGATTTTACGGATAATACCCAATTTCGTGGAAAATCCTTCCCGTTTCAGAGGTGGATCCAGCCATTTTTGAAAGGGGAGTTCTAGGGTTGTACTGTATACTCTATATTCTTTCATATAAAAGGGAATAGTGAGTGGAAGAAACTTAATGTGTGAGAATCTATCTATTTAATACATAAGTTAGACGTACAAATACATGTATTTTAATTTATTCTCGGAAAATATTTTTTCTCTCTCTTTCTCTCTCTCTCTCCACTTGACAAAAAATAAAGGGGGCTTCCAACCCCGGAACCTACCCTCCTTTGGATCCACCAATGAACCGCTTACAAGCATTCACCCATCTTTGACACTTTTTCAATATCTTTCCAAGGTTTGGGAAACCTAATAAATTTAACTCCTTGCATATATTTTTTGTGGGCATACTTTGAGTCACTATTGCAGATTCCATGACAACAGTGTTTTAATGCATCCTTTTTTTGCACAGATTAGCCATAATATTACTTAATTAATTTACACCACAAAGTAAGATTCAAGCCATTGTTTTGGTCATGTAAACATAGAAACATGTGGGTCAGTTTGTCCCATCTAAATAGTTTGCAAAATCTTCTAAAATATGTGATAAGGAATTCTAAAAATAGATGCAGCAGAGATTCTGTACCTGTGCTATAAACAGATAAGACGCAGCTCTCTGCTGAGTCAGAACATTTAAAATATGTCAGTTTCAATTAAACAATGATGCAGATTTCTTTTACCTAGGTAATGTAGGGTATTAATGTGATAGGACCTTCGTAAACTAATTTAAAAGCCCTCAGGCGAGGTCAGGTAATTATAGGTTCATGAGGAAAAAAAAGAATTATGTATTGTTTTTGGAAAATATTGTGACCGAATTAGATTAATTGCATCAAAATCAGATGCAGAGAACTGCACTCGGTGATCTGTTTTGGTTTCCCCGACAATTTAAATTCTGTGTCAGCGAGAATTTTTATCAGCCAATGAGCGTGTCAGCAGCAGACTCTATACATCACTGATCACCTGTCTGTATACAGTGCATATCTGATATCAGACAGGCAGGCCAGTTTATCAAAATTTAGCCTGGTTCCCTGTCCCTGTTTTGCTTCGTGTACTCCTGCCTTGGAAAGTATGAGCCTGGGGACCAGGCTAATCAAAGTTAACGTGATTTGCCGCTAGATGGCGATCGCAAATTCTTTTCCGCCTCAGATGAGCGGTACCAATAGAGCGGAGGCTAAGCCTCCGTCTAAAAATGGATTTTGGATATGTTGACCTTTGATGAAACCTTCAGATATCTAAATTAACATATACACAGGGTTCAGA